GAGGTCAAGAGATCGAGACCATCCTGGTCGACATGGTGAAACCCTGTCTCTACTAAAAATACGAAAAATTATCTGGGTATTGTGGCGCGTGCCTGTAATCCCAGCTACTCAGGAGGCTGAGGCAGGAGAATTGCCTGAACCCAGGAGGCGGAGGTTGCGGTGAGCCAAGATTGCGCCATTGCACTCCAGCCTGGGTAACAAGAGCGAAACTCCGTATCAAAAAAAAAAAAAAAAAAAAAAAAAAAAGAAAGAAAAAGAAACCACTTTCTTTCCCTGTCCGCAGGAAGCAACTCTCCATCTGTTCAAGTTTTATTACAAAATTGCAGCAATTCAGTCACATCTTCAGGCTATATTTGGAGTGTAGTGGCGCAATCTCGGCTCACTGCAACTTCTGCCTGAAGCAATTCTCCTGCCTGAGCCTCCTGAGTTGCTGGGACTACAGGTGTGTGCCACTATGCCCGACTAATTTTTCATATTTTTAGTAGAGGTGGGGTTTCACCCTGTTAGCCAGGATCTCCTGGCTCATGGTCCACCTGCCTCTGCCTCCCAAAGCGTTGGGATTACAGGCATGAGTCAAGTGCCTGGCTCTTTTTTTTTCCTTGAGACAGAGTCATGTCCTATGGCCCACGCTGCAGTGTAGTGGCGTGATCTTGGCTCACTGCAACCTCTGGTTCCTGGGTTCAAGCAATTCTCCTGCCTCAGCCTCTAGAGTAGCTGAGATTACTATTTAGTAATAATCCTACCACTATGCCCAGCTAGTTTTTTTGTTTTTTGTTTTTTGTTTTTTTTTTGAGACAGAGTTTCACTCTTGTTACCCAGGCTGGAGTGCAATGGCGCGATCTCGGCTCACCGCAACCTCCACCTCCTGGGTTCAGGCAATTCTCCTGCCTCAGCTGCCTGAGTAGCTGGGATTACAGGCACGCGCCACCATGCCCAGCTAATTTTTGTATTTTTAAGTAGAGACAGGGTTTCACCATGTTGGCCAGGATGGTCTCGATCTCTTGACCTCGTGATCAACCCACCTCAGCCTCCCAAAGTGCTGGGATTACAGGTGTGAGCCACTGTGCCCGGCCAGTTTTTGCATAATTCTTAAGGGCCCTAGGATTTTCAGAACAGTAAATGAGCACTGGTTAAAACAAAGTCACCAGCTGCATTAGCGCCTAGCAAAAGAGTCAACTGTCCTTTGAAGCCAGGTACTGACCTTTCTCTAGCTATGAAAGTCCTAGATAGCATCTTTCCCTCTTATAAGGCTGTTTCATTTACATTGAAAGTCTGTTTTTTAGTGTGGCCACATTCATCAATTATTTTAGCTGTATATTCTGTATAACTTAGTGCAGCTTCTACATCAACACTCACTCCCTCACCTTACACTTTCAAGTTACAGAGGTGGCTTCTTTTCCTTAAACCTCATGAACTAACCTCTGCTAGCTCCACTCTTCTTCTGCAGCTTCGTCACCTTTCGTAGAACTGGAGAGAGTTAGGGCCTTGCTCTGGATTAGGTTTTCACTTGAGGGAATGTCATGGATAGTTTCATCTTCTATCTAGACCACTAAAACTTTCACCCTATCAGCAATAAGACTGTTTGGCTTATCATTCATGTGTTCATTGAAGCAGCAATTTTTTATTTTTTTTGAGATGGAGTCTTGCTCTGTTGCCCAGGCTGGGGTGCAGCAGTGCAATCTGGGCTGACTGTAACCTCCAAGTCCCGGGTTCAAGCGATTCTTTGCCTCAGCCCCCCGAGTAGCCTTTCTCACTAGGCTTAATCATTTCTAATTTTTGATTTAAAGTAAGAGAGATAGAACTGACTGGTCCTTTTGCCTGAACACTTAAGAGGACACTATAGGGACACTGACTGGCCTAATTTCAATATTGTGTCTCAAGGAATGGACAGACCTGGAGAGAGAGACTGGAAACTGCCGGTCACTGGAGCTGTCAGTACACACTCAACATTCACCGATTAAGTTCACTGTCTTATACAAGTGCTGTTCACGGTAACCCGAATCACTGATCACATATCACTGTAACAGATACAATAATGAAAAAGTTTGAGGCTGGGCATGGTGACCCATGACTATAATCCCAGCACTTTGGGAGGCTGAGGTGGGTGGATCACTTGAGATCAGGAGTTCGAGACCAGCCTGGCCGGCCAACATGATGAAACTTTGTCTCTACTAAAAATATAAAAATTAGCTGGGTGTGGGTCAGGCGTGCTGGCTCATGCCTGTAATCCCAGCACTTTGGGGGGGCCAAGGAGGTTGGATCATGAGGTCAGGAGTTCAATACTAGCCTGCCCAATATGGTGAAACCCCATCTCTACTAAAAACAAAAATTAGCTGGACGTGGTGGCATGTGCCTGTAGTCCCAGCTGCTTGGGAGGCTGAGGTATGAGAATTGCTTCAACCCGGGAGGCGGAGATTGCAGTAAGCCGAGATGGCGCCACTGCACTCCAGCCTGGCTCCTGGGGACAGACTCTGTCTCAAAAAAAAAAAAAAAAGGCTGGGTGCGGTGGTACGTGCCTGTAATCCCAACTACTCGGGAGGCTGAGACAAGAGAATCGCTACTTGAGCCCAGGAGGTCTTAGTGAGGTGAGAACATGCCATCGCACTCCATCCTGGGTGAGAGTGAGATTTCATCTCAAAAAAAAAAAAAAAAAAAAAAAGTTTCAAAGGTTGTGAATTACCAAAACGTGACACAAGAGACACGAAGTGAGCACAAGCTGCTGAAAAAATGGCTGGCACTTACAGACTTGCTCAATGAGTGCTTGCTGTAAACTTTCACCCTGCAAAAAGGGCAGTATTTGCAAAGCACAATAAAACGAGGTATCTCTTATTCCCTCCACCCTCATCCAGCTACAGGAGGGGTGTACTCCAAGCAGAAAGTTTGGCACATAGGAGACCTCAAAAACATGTATGCGACTTTGATCAAGGTGAGTGAAAAATCTTACTCATTTTATGTACAAAGCACAGATGTGCATACTTTATATAAAAAAACGATAGTTTATGTGTGGCATTAAGATTTCATGGAGAAGATTAGAAAAACAATGTCCACAGCCGGGCGCGGTGGCTCAAGCCTGTAATCCCAGCACTTTGGGAGGCCGAGGCGGGTGGATCACGAGGTCGAGAGATCGAGACCATCCTGGTCAACATGGTGAAACCCCGTCTCTACTAAAAATACAAAAAACTAGCTGGGCATGGTGGCACGTGCCTGTAATCCCAGCTACTTAGGAGGCTGAGGCAGGAGAATTGCCTGAGCCCAGGAGGCAGAGGTTGCGGTGAGCCGAGATCGCGCCATTGCACTCCAGCCTGGGCAACAAGAGCGAAATTCCGTCTCAGAAAAAAAAAAAAAAAAAAAAAAAAAAAAAAGGAAAAACAATGTCCACAAAAGCTCCTTACACACACAGTAATTTAAGAAAGGATCAATGTACAATGTATTAAAGATATCTGGAAACTCAAATTCAGGCAATACAAAAGCCAGCAATACATCTCTCTACTCGAATGTTCCTATTTCACCCCAAACTCACAGGTAAAGCTGAACTCAATGTGTCCTTCCTGTCCACTAAAAAGCAAATCACCGGCCGGGCGCGGTGGCTCACGCCTGTAATCCCAGCACTTTGGGAGGCCGAGGCGGGTGGATCACGAGGTCGAGAGATCGAGACCATCCTGGTCAACACAGTGAAACCCCGTCTCTACTAAAAATACAAAAAATAAGCTGGGCGTGGTGGCGCGTGCCTGTAATCCCAGCTACTTAGGAGGCTGAGGCAGGAGAATTGCCTGAACCCAGGAGGCGGAGGTTGCGGTGAGCCGAGATCGCGCCATTGCACTCCAGCCTGGGTAACAAGAGCGAAACTCCGTCTCAAAAAAAAAAAAAAAAAAAAAAAAAGCAAATCACCAAGAAAGTAACAAAAGATTCCCTTCAATGTCTCTGCCTTTTATTGTCAGCAGTCCCAAAATTCCTGGTCACTGAATTCAAAAGCCTAACCCCGCAGTCAGGACCTAACCTCATCTGCTGCCCAACAGCTGCGTGACCTTGGGCAGACCACCTCACTTTTCTAGACCTCGGTCTTCCCAGCCAGTTGGACAATCTAAGGCGGGCTCCAGAGCTGAGACCCTAGGTCTGGCTCAAGCACTTGGTGCACAAACAGAACGAAGGTTACTAAGATTGTGAACGTCCGTGGCAACCGACACGTAAAAGACAAAAGCTGAAATCCCTACAAAAACAGCTCGCCCAAGCTCTATCCTTTCCCCTCCTCCCTCGATGGATCCACGGTGGGAAAGCGGCGTTTACTAGCAGCTGTGTTTCCGGTGGCGACAATCTCCGTGCACCTGCCGCCCGGCGCGCCAGGGCAGCGAAGGGCCCGGGTGGTGCAGGGCTGGGCCGCAAGCCTCACGGTCACGCGTTCCTCCAACCTCCCGCCGGGGCCCGGAAGCGCACCCGGAAGTCGAGGCCGTACGAAGTTTTCGGCGGCGAGCCCGGCGCCGCCACCGTCAGCCCCGCAGCCGTACTCACACCCCGCGACCGACAAAAGGCCCCGCCACGCGGCCCGGGCACCCCGGCAAACTTGCAGGCCCCAGGATGGCGGGGCCGCGGCGCGAACACACAAACGCGGCGTCCTCAGCAGGGAACAAAAACCCTGTCCAGGTCAGGTCGTCCCCCAACGGCACAGCCCGCTCGACTCTCCGAGTGACCTTGGGGGCGTTCCCGCCCTTCCCAGAGCCTCAGTTTCCCTTCCTAGGCTATGGACTAAGCCCCGCGGCCGCGGCCCGCCGGGGCGAGCCGAGACGCAGACGCAGGCGCAGGCCTCCCAGCTTCCGTTTCCCGCGCCAGGCCGGGCTCCGTGCGCCCGCACGGACCGCGGTGCGAGCGGCCGGAGCTGGCTCGAGATCCCGGGCTGCGGGACCTCGCCCGGCCCGTGCCGCGCAAGGCGGCTTCCTAAAAAGCGGGCGCCCGGGCCTGCGTAGGCCGCGAAGCCGTCTACACCTCGCAACTGCACGGGCTCTGACCTTCCGTTGCCTTCCCGCAACGCCCGGCCTAACCTGGAGCTGGCTAGGTCCGCAGGCGCCGCCGCCGTCGCACTCGAGAGAGGGAGCGCCTTCTCCAGCCGCGGAGGAGAGCCGCTCGAGCAAGATGCCGCCGCCTCGACAGCGACCCACTTCCGCTTCGGAGCCCTCGGCTCCGCCCCGCCTCAAGTCCCCATTGGCAGCCCGCCGCCTCTACTTCCGCGGTCGGCCGGGTTGGGAGGCATTTTTTAATCCTATTGGATAATGAAACCATCTGTTACTACTTTAAAGCGCGCCTCTTTCCGGCCCCGCCCACAACCGTGCGTGCGAACCAGCGCCTTCCGGCGAGAGCAGGCGCAGCAAGGTCCGGCCTGCAAGGCCTTTAGGTAGTCGGAGCGTGGGGGCGGCCCGGGCGCCTGTCCTCGGCAGCCGCTGACCGCCCCGCCGGCGGCCTCCGGAGTCGAGCGAACCCCGAGCCGCCCATTTCTAGGTTTCGAGCTGCGCCCCAGCTGCGGTGTTCCCGGCCTGACGCAGCTGGCGGAGGCGCGGAGCTGGTCGTGCGTGCCCGACAGCCGTTCCGCGCCCCTCTCCCGGCTCTTGTACCCTCGCCTTTTAACGAGGCCTTTGTGCGGAAGGTTGCCGGGCCTGGGGGCTCTGACGATGGGTGCAAACCAGGTGTGGTTCTGTTTCAGCTCCTCCGCATGCCAAACCCTGGGCCGGCGTGCGGGTCCCCGCCCCTGCGAGGACTCTGGGGCTTTTGCAAGCTGGGCTAGAGACTTATGCCTAACCGGGAAAGAGTTACGGGAGCGTTGGACTCAGGGCAGCACGGCGCAGGTGCATGCAGGCCCCCGTCGGACTGGAGAGTGGGTGGTGCGTTTCTTGAGCTGGACTTGGACATGGGTTTAGCAGCCAGGAAAATAGCCCACATTATCCTTGCTGCCTGAGAATACCCAGACCTTAGTCCAGGGCCAGCATCTCTGGCCCCTCGGCATCCTCAGGCAACGCGAAGATCACCCCAAATGCCTTGGGTTGCATTGTTTCCTTACAGTAAGTTTCTGGTTTTGCTTCTTGTTAGTTTATTTTGACACGGAGTTTCCCTCTTCTTGCCCAGGCTGGAGTGCTGTGGCGTGATCTGGGTTCACCGCAACCTCCGCCTCCCGGGTTCACGCGATTCACCTGCCTCAGCCTCCCGAGTAGCTGGCATTACAGTCACCCATCACGCCCGACTTATTATTATTTCTAATTTCAGTAAAGACGGGGTTCCACCAGGTTGGCCAGGCTGGTCTCGAACTCCTGACCTCAGGTGATACACCCTCGGCCTCCTGAAGTGCTGGGATTACAGGTGTGAGCCACCTCACCTGGCCACCTTACAGGGAATGTCTAACCTCGAAAATTGAGTCAAATATTGGAAGACAAGGCAGATAGAAACCAGAGCATTAACGTTTTTGTGTTGAGTTTACAAACAGTATGTGTTAGCTATTTTTTGTAATGGTAAGGAAATTTGGCATGGCAGAGTATCTGATGGATAAATCTAATTTCCGTGTAAAATATCTTTTTTTTTTTTTTTTTTTTCAGATGAGGTGTCACTCTGTCACCTCGGCTGGCATGCGGCGGCACAATCATGCCTCACTGCAGCCTCAGCCTCCCCAGGTTTAGATGATCAGCCCACCTTAGCCTTCTGAGTAGCTGGGACCACAGGTGCATGCCACCATGCCCTGCTAATTTTTTTTGTATTTTTTTGTAGATACAGGCTTTCACCATGTTACCCAGTCTTGTCTTGAACTCCAGGGCTCAAGCTCTCTGCTCACCTTGACCTCCCAAAATGTTGGGATTACATCACCCCCTGCCCTAAGTATTTAATTTTAATAGTGATTGTAGGTTGAAAAGTGTAAGATTTTCTGAAGTTTGTGATTATAATTGGAACGAAGAGAACTTAAAAGTTTAAATGTAGACATTTCATATATCTAAGAGAACTTGATAAGGCAGGCAACTGAAATGCTGAAAAATAAAATTAGATTCTACATGTATAAATGCAGTTGAAAATGTTTAAGGGAATCTCAGTTCATAAATGGGGCCATACTGTGACTAATAAAAATGGTGGTTAGAAATAATCAGAGTTGGCCGGGCACATGGCTCACTCCTGTAATTCTAGCACTTTGGGAGGCTGAGTCGGGTGGATCACCTGAGGTTGGGAGTTTGAGACCAGCCTGACCAACGTGGAGAAACCCTGTCTCTACTTAAAATACAAAATTAGCCGAATGTGATGACGGGAAACTGTAATCCCAGCTACTTGGGAGCCTGAGGCAGGAGAATCGTTTGAACCTGGGAGATGGAGGTTGCAGTGAGCTAAGATGATGCCACTGCACTCCAGCCTGGCAAAAGAGCAAAACTCCGTCTCAAAAAAAAAAAAAAAAAAAAAAAAAAATCGCCGGGCGCGGTGGCTCAAGCCTGTAATCCCAGCACTTTGGGAGGCCGAGGTGGGTGGATCACGAGGTCGAGAGTTCGAGACCATCCTGGTCGACATGGTGAAACCCCGTCTCTACTAAAAATACAAAAAAATCAGCTGGGCATGGTGGCGTGTGCCTGTAATCCCAGCTACTCAGGAGGCTGAGGCAGGAGAATTGCCTGAACCCAGGAGGCGGAGGTTGCGGTGAGCCAAGATTGCGCCATTGCACTCCAGCCTGGATAACAAGAGCGAAACTCCCGTCTCAAAAAAAAAAAAAAAAAAAAAAAAAATCAGATTTAGGCCAGACATGGTGGCTCTCGCCTATACTCCTAACATTTTGGGAGGCTGAGGTGAGAGGATTGCTTGAGCTGAGGAGTTGGTAGACAAGCCTGGGTACCCCATCTAACACACACACACACTAGCCTGGTGTGGTGGCACGTGCTGGCCTGTGGTCCCTTGAGATCATAGCTGTAGTGAGCTGCGATCACACTCCTAGGCTGAATGACAGAAAGAGACCCTCTCTGTCTCTCTCTCTCTCAAAAAAAAATCTGATTTAGAAAAAAAGATTGGTAATTTGCATTTCACAGGCCAAGGAAAAGTTAGGGCTTTCTGTTTGTAACTGTAATATGTTGGAGGTGGGATGTTGAAAAACAAAGTCTCTAGAAATACCAGTTTCGCCGGGCGCGGTGGCTCAAGCCTGTAATCCCAGCACTTTGGGAGGCCGAGGCAGGGTGGATCACGAGGTCAAGAGATCGAGACCATCGTGGTCAACATGGTGAAACCCCGTCTCTACTAAAAATACGAAAAATTAGCTGGGCATGGTGGCACGTGCCTGTAATCCCAGCTACTCAGGAGGCTGAGGCAGGAGAATTGCCTGAACCCAGGAGGTGGAGGTTGCGGTGAGCCGAGATCGCGCCATTGCACTCCAGCCTGGGTAACAAGAGCGAAACTCCGTCTCAAAAAAAAAAAAAAAAAAAAAAAAGAAATACCAGTTTCATGCCCAAAAGCTGCCTTCAGCCTGGGCAACATAGTGAGACCTCATCTCTACTAAAAACAAAAAATTAGCCTGGTGTGGTGGTAAGTGCATGTAGTCCCAGCTACTAGGGAGGATGAGGCAAGAGCATCACTTGAGCCTGGGAGTTTAAGGCTGTATGCACTATCATCACATCACTGCACTCCAGCCTGGGTGACAAAGCGAGACCCTACCTCAAACACAAACAAAAGCTTCCTTCAAGTCCTCTCCGAGTCTCCTCGTACGGAACTTGCTCCTTCACAAACAGCGCTTCCCTTGGGCCCCGAACGCCCACAGCTTGGAGAAAAGACTGGCACCGTGGTGCTCCCATAGTCCCACACATGGAAACCAGCTGCATGCAGGTTCCTGGGCTTCACACCAGATGATACTGAATCTGTTCTTAACTATCTCCAAAGAAAGCCTCTGTCCAAGTGTGTCTCAGACACTGTCAGCAAGGATCTTCTCAGGAGCCTGCACTCAGGCAGAATGTCCACTCCCAGGCAGTGCAGCCAGGAAAGCTTCCAAGGATTCCCAACACCAGCTAGGCCATAGTTCGCTCTGGCTGGCCCCCTTCGAGGGAGTAGCTTGAGTCTGTAAAGAGCCCGTGCAGGGAGGGGGAGGCAAGGGTCTCCAGTGAAGGCCCTGGGCTTTGAGGGTGTGTCTGTTAGTTATTGCTCTGGAACAAACCATCCCAAAGCTTGATACTTTGAACAACAGACATTTATTGTTGCTCATGAATCTACAAGCCAGCGGGGGCGGGGGGGGTTCTCGTCTGGCTGTCCTCACATTTTGGGCTCTGCTGGTCTAGGATGGCCTCTGAGCTAACGCCTCCACGTGGTGTCTCCTCCCAGCAGGCCACCTTAGTCATGCTTGCACAGGGCCGCCTGGGCGAGGTTCCAAGAGAACAAGTGGGAGCTCCAAGGCCGCCTGACGCCCAGACTCAGAACTGGCACATGGCCACTTCTGCACCCTCTGCCAGACCAGATGCCAGGGCTGGGGGAAATAGACTCCGCCTCTTGACAGGAAGTGTAAAGTCACAAGGCAAGGGCAGGGATATGCAGACATTTGCCACCACTCTACCAGGCAATGCCTACTCCTAGGCCACCACTTTAGGGAATGGTGCCAGGCCTGCTCCCTCCTAGGTCTGTGTGAGGGAGAGGCCTCAGGGGCTCTCAAGCGACGTGAGTGGCTGCTAGTCCAGGAGGGGCAGGGGAGGATACTGTCATCTGCCAAGCAGTAGCATTGTCGTTTGCACCTGAGCGTGTTAGCGGCCACATCTCCCCTCTGCTCCAGAGGTTAGCCTCCTAGATGAAGGTAATTCTGCCTTGCCACCGTGCTCGCTTCAGGCACCCATACGGACCTTCCCCCACTGCAGGAACTGACTGAGCACAAGCATGTTCAACTCAGGCCAGTGAGACAGGGGCACCTGTTCGTTGTTCCTCAGGCTGGAACTGCTGCTGGACTGGAGACTGAGCTCTTGGATCAGGCACATCCTGAAGTCGGCTACCTTTGGATTGACATTATGAGAGCTAATAAATCCCCCTTCGAAACCTCCAGAGCTCAGAGGGGCTTTCTGGAGCAGGCATCATCAATGTATTCCCTCAATATCAAATCAAATGGGCTTGGATCACACAACACAGGATGTGAGCAATGTTTATTTCTTTCTCTCTTTTTAAAATTTTTCTTGAGACAGTTTCACTCCTATCACTCAGGCT